AAACCTTAATAAAAAATCGATACAGGGCTTTAGAATATCGATACAGTATCGGGGAAATGAAATATCGCGATATTTCAGTGTATCGATATTTTCTTACACCCCTACTGCGTTCAGGACAAGCGTGGAAAACTCACCACTCTTATGCCAATACAGTCGCAATGATGCATTTAGGTGCCGAAATGGAACTACATTCATGTGGTGGTTATGTAATACAGCGAATCGATAATAAAAAATCTGTGTCGACAAATTTACATAATCGACGTCATCGATTATTTCAACTAATCAGTGCAGCCCTAATTTTGTCACATAACTGGCATATTTTCTATACAACGTGGCTCAGCCAAAGTGAAACAGGAAGTGACATCAAAGGGGAACATTTTAATAAAAGGAACTTTCTGGTGTTTGTTTATCGAAACAATATTATCTGATTCTTCATCTCTCTCTGATAGTGACTCAAAATAATCTAAAAAAACACATTCTTCTCTACACGCTAGGGTTGGGCATAATCGTATCGTGTGCAATTAATCGTCAGAAAAACATTAATCGATTACATTTTGGCACTTGATGATTAATACGATTAATGCCACCGGGTAGAGTCTGCTCGCTGCTCCTCTCTGCTTCATATATGATGAACATTAAAAATAAAGTTCTGTGATTTATTTATCCGTCAACACAATTTAAAATTTGATGTACAGCCTGAAGTCTGTAATTTTGACACAATATGGAACAGATTTGTACGAAGAGCAACTCTTTCCCACTAAATTGGTCATGTGACTAGGACATAAGGGACTCCAGGGGATTAATCGTCAAATTAATCGTTATCGGATAAATACCACAATTTTGTACCAACGCTCTGTTCACATTCAGACATTCCCCTTTGACATCACTTCCTGTTACTTCACATGTGAATATCTCAACAACTGTTCATCTCAATAGCATGACTTGTTTTTTGCAATATGTTATCGGTGTTGTCTTTCAAAAAGTCCATTCATATTTATTACAAAAATTTGATGTCACAGGTACTTTAAAACAGATATGAAAGTCAGTGGATGAAATGCTTTACTTCTGGGAATACAAGGCTTTTAAGTCACAACTGTGTTGAATCCTGTTTTCTTTACCTGCATATAAGATTTAAGGTGTTTTGTGTAATTTATCTTTAAAAAATGTGTTGTTTGAAATAACCTACCTGTCCCATTTTTTAAACAACCTGCTGTAGCTCCTGTGTCTTTAAGACCCACCTCCTGAAAGGCCTGTCCTCCTCTGATTGGCCAGCTTTTGGAAGCCTTCAAGGCGTGTATTTTGTAGGCATGTAGTTTGTAGGCATGTAGTTTGTAGGCATGTTGTGCCTTTTTTTTAGAAGACTATTTAGAA